AATTATAGCCTTCTCTTACATTACCTTTTTTTTGCATCAATTTCATTATTTAGAAAAAGATTTTGTTGTAGAATTACAACTTTTCCATAAATTTATATTAAATAAGAAATACATACCATTTAATCTTAAATGCATGACAGAAACAGTATTGCTAGAAGTTTACTGTAAGATACAAGTAAAGTGATATAAGTTTGTTATCAGAAATTATGAAATAATGATTGTTATCAGAAATCATAATTGATTTCATGAAAATCAACGTCATGACATGTTAATGTAAAAAAGAAAATTCAAAGGACAAATAAACAAATGAGAAATGGATTGATCATTTCGAAGACATAAATGATAACCAACTTGTCAAACAATGGATTGTGGACAATATTGTTACAACACAAACGATAAAAACAACCGTACGAGACATCATCGAATGACAATTGATGAAGATTCGTTTGTAAAATTCAATTAAAATAATGATTGATTCCTAAAGAAGAAACGGATAAAATTGACAAAAATAGATTACAAGGAATATCATGAAAACAGAAAATAATACGACATACTGAATATATCTTTGAAAATATTTTGCATTGTTACATTTGGATGCTTTTATTATGACCTACATGACTGCAATCATAATTGCATGCACTGCTAATAATGAATAAATATCATAAATCATTGTATAGTTATCAGAAATGATAAATGATGTTTCTTGATGAATTATCTGAATATTATCAGTGAAATGGTATATGATGTGAAATAGATATGCCAATAAGTGGGAATAATTTGAATGTTATGGATAAGGCTAATCTTGAAAGAATCATGAAAAGTAACAGATTTGTGTAAATGAAATATTTGACAATTGAATGGGAGAATTTAAAAAAAAAAGTTAAATTATCACTGATACATTTTGATAAAATTAGTTAAGCATCCATGCAACTTACAAGGAAAAACAATGAAAATTGTAAATATAAATCCAAATATTATCGATATTTGTCGTCAAAACAAATTAAAAGTTAAAATACTGCAAAATGGAATAAATATTGTGATAAGAAAAACCAGTGTAAATTTTAATCTCGAAAAATATTTTAAATTGGGTGGAAAAATTTCTTATTCAATCATTTTTACATAATTTACGGAAATTTTATCATAAACTGTTCTACCATCCATTTCTTCTACTTTTGCCGTTATAAATAATACGAAATGATAATCAATGCGAAGAATGTCATTGTTAGTTGGTTAGGATGACCAGAATTTGCATCATCCTCTAAAAATGGAAGTAGAAGAACAATTAGAAAATTTGAAGATTGATAAATTATACAAAAATAGAATTTCGATTGATCTAATAATTAAATTAATCAATACACTTTCTTCGTAGAGCTGTCAGTTTTTGCTGGCAAATAACTTCGATTCAAAGAATAGTTTTAAAAAAATTTTGATTTAATCGTTTTTTCCAAATTATTTATGCTTATTTAAATAAGATTTATATATATTTTTCTTTCCCGATTTGATCTATTTATTCCATACTCTCTCTCTCTCTCTTGGGAACTTGAATTTTATCTATTTCGAGTAATGTTTAACAGTTAATGCTAATGAATAAACAGCACGATTTACTAATAGCATCATTTTCTGGTTCTCGATCGATCATTGTTTTAATTTCCGACATCAATTCACTTTCTGTTAATTTATCAGGTTCTTTGTCAAGAATCTGCAAAGGATATTTGCATATTTAACAAATGAAGGAAGATAAAAGGAAGTATTTACGAGAAAGTTTCATGAAATTTTTGTCTATCATTTTTGATTATTAGTTCCATGATAGTTTAATATATTCTTTCGAACTTGATTATTTCGATTTTTTCCTTTTTTTTAACAATTCACCGTTGATGGTTATCATTTGAATATTAAATTTCAACTTTTATAAATATTAACTAAAAGATATCCAATGATGATCGATTGAATAATGGTATTAATTAATATTTTTCAGTATGCGTGGATGTTTCAATGAATACTTATCAAAATCATACATCATTTCATCCATTTGGAAATATCAACTATGAATAATCAGACAATTTTCATCAACTTTTTTTGGCCAATTAATTAATTATCCTAGCTTAACTTCGGTTGATTAATTAGTCAAAAAATTGATAGCGGAGAATGGATAAGTAGAAGTAACTTAATTTGCGCTTTTTGATGTAAGTAAGTAATTAAAAGAAAAACGATTAAAGGATGAAAATACTAACGTATTTGCAAAGTATATCACAAGTGATAATTTTATCACTACATGGTATCGGTACTATATAATCAGGAGCAGCTATAATATGAATACATATGCAAATTTACTACTTTGCATATAAAATATTATTGAAATTATATTTTTCTTAATTTGCTTTAGCACAACAATGTGTTACTTTCATTACCAATCGAATAATATTTTTAATAATTATATCATCACCATTAGTGATGAAATGAAAAAAGATTTTATCTTTTTTTGTCTTTTCACTCTTCTCCTTTAAGTTCAAACTTTTTTTACGATATTCTAAATTTTTAATTTTTTTACATCTTTTAAAAAAAACTTCTATTTTTTAAATTTCTTTTTAAGTTTAGAACTTGCAAATTAACTGAGTAATCATTTATTTCTTAATATTTAATTCCTAAATTTAAAAAAAAAAATCTCACAATCTCGTTTGGTTTTTGTTTTTTTTTCTTGTATAGCAAAATAAACTATACAAAATAAACATTCGGTTATCTTTCTGTGAATGATCATTTATCAAGAAATTTTATCAAATTATATTTACTTTGAAAAAGCATGAAATGATAACATTCCTTGTCACTTGTTATACCGGCAATTAAATCCCTCACTGATGACTGCTCAATTGAAATGCCATCCATCCATTGATATTCATTATACATATACATCAAGCCAATCATTAATCCATGCGTTCTCTTTTCAAATGGACGGTGAACTGAAATTTAAAAAAAAAAAGAGAAAAAATTTGTTGACAGTAATGACAAAATAAAGTATAATTGAAACTGTTTATACTTATCATTCATGCACGCCAAATTTTAGCTTCTAGATCTTTACTTTTGCAAATAATAATAATATAAAATAAATTCAACCAATGTTTAAATTCTTCAAGTTAAAATTTTTTTATCGCTCCTTTTTTATCATTCTGTAAAATTTCAAGATCATTTGACTTCTTATCTTCTTGTTTTGCGTTCTTAAAGATTCTTTATACTTCAACCCTACAGATGACACTCGTAATGATTATAACACTGATGATGATAGTGATGCTAGTGATAACGGTGATAATGATAACGTTGTTAGCACGAATACTTCAGAAACGGATCAAACGAGCAGATATATTCGAGTTATCAGAGCTATCAGAAGTGATAGATGAATTCATTTAAATGCATTGCGAAATGATGCATTTGACTGAATTTCGCATAAATTTCATTTCGCTATTTCAAAAAATAATGAACAAAATAAAGTTTGCTTTTTTTTTTTATTTCATCGAACTACCGATGATATCACTTTGCTACATTTTTTTTTCTTTTTTTTGAATCCAATTATGGGTTCGACCATAAAAAAATTAACCGGATATAATTTCTTCATGTAATAATCGTATTAAATTTTTGCTTGGTACAGTAGCCAGTGAAAGTTGATTCCACCGTTCCGTTTCACGTCCATATTCATTTGAATATTTATGACATAAATCAGTGTTAGCATTTGTTACATTGTCCATCTCAAATTCAATTTTAAAAAAATAAAAAACAAAAAGTGAATAAAGCTTAAAAATTGAAATAAAACACACAAAAAAAAAGAATTTGCAATCAGATAAAGAATGAAATAGTGTTTTCACTTGTCGAATGATAAATTTACTAATCAAATAATTCTTTTTTATTTATTAGTTTAGTTCAATTCTTTAAAAATAAACCAAATATATTTTTTTTCAATTTCATCTATGCGAAAATTTCATTTTTCTACATTTACATGCATATATTTAAATTTTTAATTTGACAATTTGACATAATTATTACCGAATAAATGTTGGCAAAGTGCACATAGCACAAATATTTGTTATTAATTTTTACCGCTATTTCATTCCTTTGACATTCTTTTTGTTTGGCTAAATGATTGAAAATATATCATTTTGCTTTTAAAAGATTTGTAAATTGTTAATGCGATTCCTTTTCCTTTTGAATAAAAAAGATGAGATTGGAAAAAAAAAAAACATACGTCTTTCATCTATTACCTGAACTCCATCATCCTGAAATGTTATAAAAAATTATTCAGACTTTTCCAATAATTAATCAATTCATCGTATTATCGTATTGAATCATTTCATCTTCTGTAGATTGAATTTAAATTTAATGAGCTCCTTTATTTGGCTTATTTATGGTTTAATTAGAAGTTGGAAAAAGAATAATCTGGTGCAATATTTATGCACATATAATTATTAGTTGTGCTTTTTCCCTTTCCAGATAGTCAATTTTTTGAATTCATTGCTTCTACAATAGAATGATTTGATTTGATTTAACTAATAATAACCAATTAATGAGTATTCTAGTATTATATTATGTCACCATATTACCAGAAAATTTCGTACTTTACTAAATGAGCAAAGTAAATAAAATGATTTTTTGGTAGAATATTCAATAGAATCCTGTCTATCACATTCGTACCATTTTGTTCCATAACCATCTCTTGCATTTTTATCTAAAATTTTAAAATCCAATTTAAATTCATTTCTTACTTTAACTAATTTCATCATCAATTCATCTCATTCCTTCTCCTTTTTTCGGTACATTTTTTAAGTAACATTATGAGTACCAAAAAGAAATTCAGATGGGAGAACCTCATTAGTCATAAAAAAGTAAAATCATATTGCACTTATTCTAGTAAGTGATTCATCACATTCTAATGATTAAAAATTTTGTTTTTGAAATTTAAACCAAAAACTCATATTTTATTATAAAGTTAGAAAAATTCACAACGTTTAGTACTTTGTTCACTTACCAACAATAATTGAAAAACGAAGGCAATAATTTTCTATTATATTGTCATCATCATCCAAATTATCGATTGGATTGAATTTCAGGAAACTTAAATCATTTGGTGCAGTACCATCCGTCCAACGAAAGCCATCACCGCGACGATAGGTTACACCAATGAAAACTTCTATTGATCCATTTGAGAATGCAGCATTTTCTAAATGTGATTATTCTTTTATTGCTCTGTCTTCAATTTCCTATCATTGAGTTTAATGGCGATTAATTAGTTTATATTTAGCTAATGTGATTTAAACTAATATAAATCCACCCAATAATACTATCAAATATGCTTAACAAACTTTTCAAAGTCAAGTAAATGATTTAATTTGAACAGTGTAGCAATTCATTATTGTATGATTTTAAAAAGTAATGGAAATTATTCGGTAAAAATAATTCAAAAATTTATAATGTGAAATCATAGGAATATCACATAGTAATTGTTGCAAAAAAATTAATTTTTGTAAAATATTCCAAATTTGAAAATTCCAACAATAAGTTTTACAAGTAGACAGATAGACAGAGAAACAAGAAACAAATAACTGAATTGAAATATTGTGTTTCTTTTTTTGTTCATTAAAATTATTAAAAAAAAAAAATCTTAAAATAGTTTAAGAAACCTTTTTGCAATTTATCAAAAATTTTGTAAAACGTCTCTTGATCACGAATTTTTGTTTCGTAAATAAAAGAATTTGTTGTATCCATTGCTAAACATCTGTCATTTGTCCCAGTTAGCATCTAAGATATATGTTAAAAATGTATTTTATAAAGTAGTATAATATATGATTATATGATCGCATAAATAATGGAATAGTTTTACTCAAATCATTAATTATATCAATTCTCGGTGTTTGAAACAATCGGGACACCGAAAAACCTTTTGTGTTTTTCATTTATTCTGTCGTGAACAGCAGTGATTTTGTTCGAGTTTGACTGATTATATACATGTAAAAAAAAAGTGGACAGAAGGGTGACCCATGAAAATTGTAGTGACCTGTGATAATTCGAACACTGTGTAACAAAGCTTATAGTTACTATCATATAATGTGAAGTTGCCTTCGCATTGATTATCTGAAGTGTGTCGGAATGGACGATTTGTTTACAAATCTTATTTTTTAAATTTTAATTACTTCATTTGTTGCTCCTGTTTCTTACATCTGATAATTTGAATCTAATAATTTGCCTTATGAAATCTGATAACTTGTCTTAATTGAAATTCATTTATAATACCTCCACTTATAACATTTCTTTACATGTTACAAAATTTAGTTGAAAAATGAAGAATTAATAGAATCAATATGCTATATGCTTGTATATTTGAAATAAATTGAAAAATTCATCATTATAAGGATAAATAAACAAATAAATAGATGAAATATGTAAATAAACAAACAAACGCAAATAAATAAATAAGTAAATAAATAAGTGAATAAACGGACAAATAAATAAGTGGATAAATAAATAAATTAAATGAATAAATAAATAGATAGATAGATAAGTAAATAAATAAATAAATAAATACAAATATATACATGTAATTCCTTACATGCATTAAATGATTTATTAAAAATCTTAGAAATGTTATAAGTAAATTTCAATTAAGAAAAAAGAAGAAAATATTCCTTGCTAGATAATAATATATTAAAAAAAATAACTGACGTTTAAAAGTGATTAATTTCTGTTTTTCTTGATTGATCCCTTCATGTAATATTATACAGAATGTGTAGATAATTGAAATGAACCAATCCATTTCCAATATTATCGTAATGATCGATAAAATTAACAATGAAGAATTTCCGTTAACTCATCACATTTTTATTACTTTAATATCGTATAGTGAAGATAATAAGACAGTTTTTTGAAAAGTATGAAATTTATGATACATTGCATATTAATTACTTTTCTAGAAACTTTTTTTTTGCATATTAATTAACACATACCCATTGGTTCATTTTTATTTTCATTCCTTTTTTTTAAGCTTGTCTATGCTATCACTTAATTTAATCTTTCAACAATGTGTGTCGTATGATTTTTGCAATTTTGTCAACATTAATTCATGCATGCATGACAGAAAACATTTCTCTTTTTAATTTTTATTTAATTTTTTAAATATGCAAGAAAATCCAATCATGCAAGAGTAAAATTTACAATAATTCTTTCCCATACTATTTGATACTATTTGAGGGATTTAAGTTTTTTTGAAGCTCAATTTTGGTAATTCTATTTTTCGTTAATTTTATTATAAATTGTGAGGGGAATATGGCATAAATGCATTGAGCATATATTCATCAAATGAAATGTCACATTTCCAACAGGCTTATTTTAATTAGTGTTGATTTTTTTTTAATATCAGTAATTAAATTAAAGTAAGAAAGGAATCAAGCTCTGCATGTTCGCTTTTATCTCTTATAATATTCTTTCTTTTCACTATTCCACTTTTTGCGATCTTTAACCAAACAAAATATCATTGACAAGATGGAACTTTTTCTCTTAAAAATTTTAATTTAATTTATTTTGCAAAATTTCGATTTGTTTGATTTAATTTAATTTAGTTTTGATTTAATTTGATTTAATTATTTTAGTTGAACTTCAGCTGATTAACTGATAATAGCTGATGGATAAATAGAAGTAACTTAGTTTGCATTATTTTGTAATGTAAGTAATTTATGAAAAAAAAGTATACAAAAAGATAGAAATGATAACTGGTAAGCAAAAATAACTTTATTTGCGCATGTCAATGTAAATAAGTGATTTAAAAAAAAACAATTAAAACATGAGAATACTAACATATTTGCAAAGTATATCACAAGTGATAATTTTATCACTACATGGTATCGGTACTATATAATCAGGAACAGCTATAATATGAATACATATACAAATTTACTACTTTGTATATAAAATATTATTGAAATTATATTTTTTTTAATTTGCTTTAGCACAACAATGTGTTACTTTCATTACCAATCGAATAATTCATATGCCGAAAACCTACACGAAAATATGACGAAAAATTTATAATGAACTTCGGAAAGAGATGAAAAAATGACAATTAAATTTACTAATAAAAAAAAACTTTTCTCGAAACAAATTTGGGAGTCTGTTTATAAAGCAAAAAAAAAAAAAACCTTTCCTTGAATTTAACTTTCCTTGAATGGAAAATAATGATAATCGATGGTCCAGCTTACTTTTGGATGCTTCTATATCTGACACAAATGCAAATTTATGTAATTCAATAAAAGGCTTCCAGTGACACAAAATATTTTGTTAATCCCAATTTGTATAAAAAAACTGTATGTGACAGTATTATTTACTTTTTTGCATAATCTGTATGAAATGCTTTCCGTTTTACAATGCCTTGCTATTCAATGCTAAATGGAAAACAGATTAATTTCGATTTCTCCCGAACCTTTCTGATCTTTGACTGATTCGACCTTTTCATTTTAAAAAGTTAATATTTTCGTTCAGAATTCATTCTACTGTCACAAATTGTTTCTCTCCTCACCAAATTCGTTTCTACAAATTTCTCTACTCATTTAATAGTATTGATTAATCATTGTAGCTAAAACAAAAAGTAATTGTGAAACTTATCCTTCACTGAAGCAACCGAATTTGGGTCTAAATCTCAT